GGGGGGGGGGGTGAGAATTGGAGGGACAAACATTCTACTGCCGCAATCTTAATCTTGACACTTACAACAATCTCAATGCCTGGGACAGGCTCCAAGTTCAAAAAAATATTTTTTAACTTTCACATAGTCGTTTGCCCACCTGTCAAATTATAGTGTACCTTAAAAACATTTATTCCGACACACATTCCTTGTCGACGGGTTACGCTTTCTTCTTTGGTAACCATCTTTTACACTCCGCAATTTTTAATCAAGTTGTCCTAGTGACCCAAACATGGTTTCCAACTTGGACAAACCTTGCAAATGGAAAATTCTAGACTCTCTTTAGATGATTGCATACAGTGCGGTTAAATACATACGCTACACATCGAAAAATTCCTGAATATTGTTATAACAATGTCTTTGTATTAATCCCACACAACCATAAGAATGTCAACCAGCTCTTGGAATGGAAAGCGGTGCCATTTCAGAAGCACAGATTAGCGCTTCTTCGCAATACGATAACGAACATGGCCCAAAGAACGCCAGATTACGCAACACACAGGGCAAAGGAAGTTGGGTAGCTGGACTAAACGACGTCGATCAGTGGCTGCAGGTTGATCTGCTTGGTCTGGATATTGTGACGGGTATCGCAACTCAAGGAAGACATTCTGAACATGCCATGTGGGTAACAAAGTACAAACTACAGTACAGTAACGATGGAGAGAGCTTTCGTTATTACAAGGAACAAGGAGAGAACGTGGACAAGGTAGAAACTAATTTAAAGTGAAGACCGTGGGTATTTAAACAGTTTCTGATTGCCAGACCACCCAGTTGATTTTTTTTAGATCATCTATTTCAAATTAATTAATGAATCAACGGACGGCTGTTTGCTTGAACTCTTGAGTCCCTAATCCTGACGTCACTAATTGATCGCGACTGTTTGGTAATCGAACTTAATCGAAGCCAATAGAGGTCAATCGAACGATTGGATTCGATAAGTTCAATAATCGAACACAATCGAACCTGAACATTTGTGCGAGAGAGTTCGATTGCATTCGATTTTTGAACTTATCAAACCCAATAGAACTCAATCAACACAATCTAAATCAGTCTAAAATTCAAACTAAATACCACCAGATATTTGAACAGTCGAATTAATAATGAACTACTGACCAGAGTGAAATCTTTACTGATATAATTACCTTTGGCCGGACATGAACGATTTGATTTTACAAATGAAATGATAAACAGGCTATTAAATCGAAAAATAAAGTGCAACGTAAATTAGAAAGTTAATCTTACTTCACTGTAAGTCCATTTCATTTAAATTTTTTTTTTCAGTCTACGGAGTCGTTAATAGTCCGAGTAGCCCAGTTATAGATCGTTGTTTTGCAATCACCATGCAACAAAGCCTCAATATCTAGCCTAGTTAGCTATTAAGAATTAATTTTAAAATGATATGATCGTGACGATTTTTCATTCTATTGATAAAGGAATTAGCTGGAAACACAGACGAGGACACTGTTGTTTACCATGATCTAAGGCCGCCGATCAAAGCACGATACATCCGCTTTCGACCAGTA